ATGTGTTTGGAAAAATGAGGCCAAAGCCCCACAAAATGGCAGAGCCACTGATTCAATGACAGCAAACCACAGTATAGATAGGATTTATTAGATAAAAAACATTGTTTAAGAATATGGCTCAATAAAAGCAAAGATGGCAAACATATTGGTAAATAGATATAGATTAGTTTAAAACTATAGGGACTAGTTTTTGAGCATACCATACAGACGAGATTGAAGGAAGGATCAGAATGACAGCAGAGGTCATCAAAGAGATTAGTGAGGATATGTTTCAATTGTGGTTGGCGTGTTTGTTGTCTTCCTGTATTATCTCTTCACAGATATCGAGCCAGAACTAGGATGATTGGATATCCCCAGTCCCGTCACCAGAGAATATTGAAAGATTGTGACCTATTTGTTAATATAGCGTCAAAGAGGGACTGTCGAAATATTTCACAAAAAGCTGCCATCAGGACAAAGTAATATGCAACAGGAATCATAAGAGATGGACCCAGCTTACAAAAACCAGACAATTATTGACTCAGATACCAATGCTCTCTCCATCTCGACGAGGGCAAAAAGTCCAACCACAATTCAGGCGCCCAGCTGGTGTGGGGCAATTGTTTGCTCAGGTGAGATGGAAGGGACCGGGTCCAGACAGGACCAGGGGGCCAGGACCGAGTCCCAGATCTGTGACGTCATCGGACCCTTTTGATAGAAATGTGGAGGAGATTGGCCGTCAGTCGTCCGAGGGCATGGAGAGGTGCAAATTAGTTTAGGAGCACTTTTTTTGTTGAATATTCTGTATTGATTGTAAAAGATAATTAAATGCAGATGTTAAACGTGAAGATCTTTGTCTCGCTCTTGCATCGCATACGTCAGTCAAAGGGAATTATTGACTTCAGTACGATGGTTAAGGTCGGGTTAAGGTGGGTCTTAGTTAGATGGTTAAGGATAGGGTTAAGGTGGTCTGAGTACGTGGTTAAGGTTAGGTTTTATGGCGGGGGTCTGAGTTAGATTTAAGGTTAGGTTTAAGGTGGGTCTGAGGAAGATGGTTAAGGTTAGGGTAAAGTGGTTGAGTAAGATGGTTAGGGTTCGGGTTAAGGTGGGTCTGGGGGAGGAGAACGTTAAGGTTAGGCGTAAAAGGTGCGGTCTGAGTAAGTTGGTTAAGGTAGGGTAGGTTAAGGTTAAGGCGGTTATGAGTATGATGGTTAAGGTTAGGGTTAGGCGGTTCCTGAGTAAGATGGTTCATGGTTAGGTTTAAGGCGGGTCTGAGTAAGATGGATAGGGTTTAAGGGGTACGGCGGGGTCTGAGTAAGATGGTTAAGGTTTGGAGTTAAGGTTAAGGCGGTATGAGAAGATGGTTGAGGTTAGGTTGTAGGCGGGTACTGAGTATGATGGTTATGGTTAGGGTTTAGGCTGGTCTGCGTAAGATGGTTAGGGTGTAGGTTAAGGCTGGTCTGAGTAAATGGTTAAGGTTTGGGTAAGGTTAAGGCGGGTCTGAGTAAGATGGTTGAGGTTAGGGTTTAAGGCGGTCGTGAGTAGGATGGTTATGGTGTTATGGTTAGGTTTTAAGGCGGTTCTGGTAAGATAGGATTGGGTTAAGGTTAAGGCGGTTGCGTAAGATGGTTAAGTTGAGTTAAGGTTAAGGTGGACTTGAGATATGATGGTTACGGTAGTTGAGTAAGAAGGTTAGGGTTCATGTGTTTTAGTCGTTGATGACTGACTTGTGTTGTGATTTCAATTGGTTTTTGTTAAGTCTATGAGATGACTTCGTTGTGCCTAGGGCTATACAAGCATAAATTGTATTGTATTGTAAGTTAAGCTGGTTAAGAGTTAGGTTAAAGGGGGTCTGCAGTTAAGATTAGTTAGGGTTAGGTTAAGGCGGTCTGAGTTAGTTGGTTAGGGTTAGGGTTAAGGGTGGGGTCTGAGAAACGATGGTTATGGTTAGGGTTAAGGTGCGTCTGAGTAGATGGTTAAGGTTAGGGTTAGGTGGTCTGTAGTAAGCTGGTACAGGTTAGGGTTAAGGTCGTCTGAGTGAGTGGTTAAGGTTAGGGGTTAAAGCTGCACTAACTGACTATGGGATTTTGACGCCGCAGACACGGCTGGCCTCTCTCTTTCTGCTCCCTCCCCGACACCCACGAATGCTATCGCCCCAACACACCACTGTTGGGACGGAGCTAGCGTCTCCCCAATATGGATAAATACGATGGACATGGATTTGCACGTGGATGGCGTGACCTAGAACGATAGAACCGGGAAGCGCGGAGGAACGAGACTTTCTGTTTGGATGGCTGTCTCGCTGTTTAAGCATTAACTGGTGACTGAAGACGAGGGAAGCTTCAGGTTAGCTCCGGCCACTTGTTGTGCTCACTCAGCCTTCTGTGCTAACGGCCTGTCGATTTCTCAAGAAAGTGGGAGTCCAGTAGGTCCGCCGTGATTGGTCACAATCTGCGACCCGAAACACATTCTCTTCCTTGTTTATCAAAATCGATCTAAAATATAATGTCACGCCAGCCCAAATTCTGCGCTACTTTTCTTCAAACGACGAATTTCCCAATGCACTGCATGGACATGGATAGCTTCTTTTTTTTTTTTTTCCGGTTTATGAATAGAAAAATAAACGTCAGTTCAGTGCAGCTTTAACCCTACCTTAACCATCTCACTCAGACCACCTTAACCCTACCTTAACCATCTTACTCCGACCAACCTTACCCTAACCATAACCATCTTACTCAGACCACCTTAACCCTAACCTTAACCTCTTACTCAGACCCACCCTTAAACCCTAACCGCTAACCATCTACTCAAAGACCGCCCTTAAACCTAACCCCCCCCCCTAACTATCTTACTCAAGACCCGACAATAAAACTAACCTTAACATCTTACTTACAATACAATACAATTTATTCTTGTATGCCCTAAGGTCACCACAGAAGTATTTCAGAAACTAAACAAAACCATTGAAATCACCCGGCCATCATCGAGTCCATCCTCACCTCCTCCATCACCGTGTGGTTCACTGGAGCCACAGTCAGGGACAAACGGAGACTACAGCGCATCGTCCGCACTGCAGAGGTGATCGGCCGCAGCCTTCCATCGCTGCAGGACCTGTACGTCGCCCGAGCTTGAGGCCGGGCTGGTCTTATCATAGCCGACCCCTCTCACCCTGCACATGGACTATTCCAATCACTCGCCTCAGGCAGGAGACTGCGGTCCATCAGGACTAGAACAGTTTCTTCCCCGCTGCTGTTGGACTCTTGAACAATTCATAACCAGTCCCCCCGCCCTTTAGAAGTCCCCTTACTGCCCATTCTAAAGTCCCCTCACTGCCCTTTATAATGGCACTTTACTTCACTTTACTGCTGTCACCTTATCGTGTGCACCATGTGTACAAGTACTTGTGTACTTGTATATTGCAATATTGCAATCGTAATAATTCAATTTATTCCTTAGAAGTGCATTTTATTTTGTATTATGCCTTCGCTACCATTTACCCCTCTGAGTGTTGCACTGAGCCAGAGCAATTTCCAAGTCTGTGACTTCCTGTTACTTACATGGCAATAAAAATGATTCTGATTCTGATGCGCAGGTTTACATTACATCATAAACACCTGAGGCAGTGCATCTTGACAAGGCAGTGCAAACAGACATTACACTATACCGCGGTGAATAACGCGAGAAATGGATTTTCACCACAGACCTTTCTTGCGTGAAGGGTCCCGGGTTTTCTATGAAGTAAGAATAAATGTCTCGCAGCAGATCGGAGCCAAGACAGGTGAGTCTGACCAATGTTTGTCGTCATCCCAGGTCTTATATGGGCTTTGAATTTGTTCACTTCGGTCTCATATACTTATTTTTAACTTGTCTTTAACGCAAGAAAATCAGAAGAGAGATAAAGTGCTTATACACAGTGCATTTCGACCACTGAGTCTTTTAAAAGTACTCGTCGCATCCATGCTTCAGTATATGCTGCTGTCTTTTTTCCACCCAGGGAGGGGCTCATGCGCACGCGGATGTAAACAAAGATCCTCCTATATCACTGCGCTGCAGAAGGGAACGTTTAAGGGATCCTTTGCTCCTTCGGGTGTCAGACTGTACAACAGACCTGTCTGAGTTTAACATGCATTATTGTTTGTTTGTTAGAAATGTTTATAATTGATGTACTTATGTGTTTATATGTTTTCTGCTGCTGGACACCTGAATTTCTCTTACGGGGATCAATAAAGTATCAATCTAAAGTAGTTTTGGTGATCTTGCATGTGAAATTAGGTTTTTTTATGATTGCCTGGCTGCTGCTCTCTGGTGGTAGCATATGGAACTTGTACACTTGTTACACTGTCTATGGTTACGCCATATATTCTAAACTCAATATTTTTGTTTTCATATTATAATTATCTTTAAAGGCCAAAATAATGCATACTATTTCTTTAGAAATAAAATTGTTTCAATTGTTTTGTTTTCTTCTCAAACGTCGATACAAACAAAACGAACAAAATGAATTTGTATGCACCCCAATTAAGTTTATTAAGAGATTTCCCATTCTAGCCCTGTATTTGCACAGAACAGTGTGTGAAGTGTCTTTTAATATCCATTTATGTATTATGTGTATCTAATGCATCCAGCGTCACTGACTACTTGATCAGTCCCTCAGATATCAGATTCCATTAGTTTCACATGTCCGAGTTTTGCAGACAGCGTTTTTAATTGCTCCACAAGAGTGATCATCGAGACTGACCTACTTGCTTACATCAAAAAGTACCCAAAGTTTCATAAGAACTTTTTTTTTTGTATTTGTTATTTCTTTAGAACTAAACATTGAGGCGTTTGTGAACAGGAAGGACGCTTTGGTCATTTCCGCGGGAGGAGACCGGGGGAAAGTCGTTTCCTGAAGTTGACATTCAGGAGATTTATTTGTGGACCTGTCTTTTGTGCATAATGTCTTGGTCGGATGATTTAATCGCGGTGTGAAGTGAGTTCGTCCTGATCCCGTGGATGTAGGGGCTGGTGCGTGCGGCGCCATGAGCCTGAGGACGGAGCCATCAGGTAGGACCCATAGGTTGTCGAAGTTCTAATAAAGGCGACAAGTGACTGTATTAATTGCGGATTTAACGGGAATGGTTAACGCCAGGGCAGGTTCACTTCCCTGCGGTATGACACTCGATAATGCGATTAGTATTATGGTGAAGGTGGGCGATCAGTAGTTGCGGACTAAATTGTCCTTTCAGTTAACTATTGTATGTCTATTCAAAACTTTGCATTAAAGAAGTTCGCTCTATTTTTATATCCGAAAATTAGAAGTAGATGTCTTATAAAGCAATCCCTTTTTCTAAATATTGTGAACAAATCAGACCATAACATGGTGTTTTCATTTTCTTGGAAAACATGTTTGCATACTGGTAAGAAAGAGCCCTGGGAGTCATTATATGAGGCTTTGGGCTGAGAGCTGATTGGCAGAATGAGGTTGGTCCTCTTTTTACATGTTATGAATGCACAGAGGTCTGTTACATCGTGAAAAAAATATTCTGGAAACCATCTCGTGACCCTCACTTTGGGAAGAATTTCATTTAAGGACCTGTTTGCAGCTTTTGTTTTTGCAGGTGTGAAACGTTATTACTAAACCATTTGTTGCCAGTGCTCCAATTATGTTTTTTGGGATCCAACCTGCTGTGGATTTCTCTGGTGAAACTGGCCACCCATAATGACACCCAAATGACAAACGACCCAATGATTCTGCCTTATGACTGGGCAGTAATATGGCAATTGTTTGTAAAGTTAAGAATACATATTATTTTGAGCTGAAAATGCTACATATTATTTGCACTGTTAAACCTTGTTTCTGGACAGATATGAGGTGGAAATGTGACTTAAAATCTAAATCTTACACAACGTTCTTTTAAATATAGACCATTTACCAGCAATTGACATATAAACAAAACGTTATTTCTATTATGTAATGAGACCTGTAGTTGTACCAGTCCCAATATATTACATAATAATCAAAAAAAAAAAAAATCTTTATATTCCTGAAAGAGAAGTAGAATGATTATACATTAAACACTGAGTAGAGTTTTAAATGGAAATGGTGAAAAGTTTTCCCTATGTGATAGTCTTATCAGTTGGCCAAACCAAATCTAGACAAAATGTTTGGAACTAGACCATATTTGTGGGATTGGCACTACTGGTACAATGCACTCCGATTATCTCTCATTACTACTTGTTTTTATGAAGCCATTACAGAATCAACCAATACAAATTAGGGTCTACAGATGAAAATTGGCTTGTAGCTATGTCCGGTCGGAACAATACATTTATTGTGCAATGTCCCTGTCAAATATTCAATATTAATATCTCCTCTACCTGTAGTTTTGGTCTTGTAGGTGCACTCTGACATCATGGATGGCACACTGGTGAATTCCTGTGTGATGAAATTAATGCAACTGCTCCTCCTCCTCCTCAGGGTCCGAGCTCCAGGCCCAGCTGGCGGAGAGCAGGGCGCAAGTGGAACATTGGCAGGGCGTGGCCACCATCTGTGAGCTCAGCAAACAGGAGGAACTTGCAGAGCTGCAAAAAAAATGTGACCAAGAAATCCAGTCTCTGCAGGAGGCTCTGAGAGGTCAGCGTCAGATGACTACTGAGACCTGTTTCTTTAACTTAAGCTTTTCATTACAATAAGCATCTGAACTTTTCCAATTTCACACAAACATAAGATTCTACCAGGTGGACAAGAAAAACTCATCGCTCTAACTTCTACTATTCTTTATTATTAGGCCCGAGCCCTGACTGGGGTAAGGGCCTATAGGAGGATCTTTGTTTACACCCGCGTGCACATGCGCCGCTCGCTGGGTAGACAGAGCGGCACATACTGAAGCATGGATGTGACGAGTACTTTTAAAAGACTCAGTGGGCGAATAGCACTGTATATAAGCACTTTAATGCAATAAGATCAGAGGAGATATAAACCCAAGCTAAAAATAAGTATATGAGACCGAATTGAACAAATTCAAAGCCCATATGAGACCTGGGATGACGAGAAAAAACATTGGTCAGACTCACTGGTCTTGGCACCGATCTGCTGGGACTGGGACTCGGTGATATTTATTCTTACTTCATAGAAAACCCGGGACCCTTAGCTCAAGAAGGGTCCGTGGTGAAAATAAAATTATTGCGTTTTTCACCGCGGTAAAGTGGCCCGGCATTTTGCCACACATTAAAAGCGGTTTGCACCTTTTTGCTGTTTCTTACGGTAAAGGTGGACCAGGAAGCCGTGGGGATGAGCAACCAAAATGCAATGTTTAAAATTAATCATCATTCATGAATAAATGAATGAGTGAACAAGTGCGCAGTGAAAGTGAACTTAAATATGTTTATGAATTTTTATTGCCTCATCCCCCCGGCTTCCCGTTGTACGTTTACCGTAGGTAACAGCTTAAAAGGGCAACCACTTTACCGCGCCCGTTTTTCCCTGTTCTTTTCGGAAAGAATTAGAAATTAAAGCCTCAAGCGGCGTCAAACGGCCCTCGCTGCCCCGCGCAACTCGCCGCACCGCCCGACTCCCGTCAAACAACGTTTCACTGATCAAAATTCCCTTAAGTCATTTTGATGGTACATGTGTTGAGATGATGTGGAGCAATTTTGAGGCAAATCGGCTTCCTGTTTGTCAGGGAGCATGGCCATAACAACTTTGTTTTTCATGTCTTGAGTTGAAGAACATTTGTACGGAGTTTCATGGCTCTACGACAAATTTGACCTTGAGCCCCTCCCATAGGCGTAATCAATTGGCTGTTGTAGGTGGCGCTGTTCTGGCATTTCAATTATTTCACTTTCAAATGACCTAGACCCTAGAGTTTAACCATGGATTCCAGTTTTGTGCAAATCTGACTTTGTTTGTGCAAACAGAAGCAATTTTGCTATTGTCAAAAACTGAAAAAAAAAAAGACACATTTTGGCAGTCCGCTGCTCAAACAACGTTTCACTGATCAAAATCTGTTTTTATTTTTTATTATATACAAACAAGAACACATACAAGTCAAAAAAAATTACTATTTTCAGACTGAAAGGGTCAGGCTGATATATAATATTTATTGAATCAGTATTAACAATGGCAAAGGAATGACACCCTCTTAATCAGAAAGCTTACATAGTGCCTCTTTAAATGTCTCACATATCAATAATGGGTCAAATGGCTGGATGTCTAAATGTCCGCTATGTTTTGTTGTGGCTTTCAGAGACGGCAGCTCAGTATGAATCCAGGATCGCCTACTGGCAGTCCAAGCAGCAAGAGTCTCAGAGAGCCAGTGGATACAGTCTGGTCAGTGAGAAACTTTGATTTTGTTATAATATGAGATTTTGAGTTCCCTGCTTGATAGATTTTAAATTAATACGAGACAGAGTTGAGCAGATATTCACGAAAACAATGGCAGAGATCTTGGGATCATATACAGGAGAGAGTCATAAATCCATGGACAATCTCAGTAAGAATATGAAATGGCAGGAATTAGAAATAAAATATTCAATTTTTTGCTCTTTATTGTATATTGGTGCATATTTGTGTAAATTATCAACACAAAACCATGTTATTTTAGCATCGTATAAAATGGAGAACTGTTAAATATTTTATTTAATTTTGTTTGTTGTTTTATATCATTACAGTCACATAAAGAACAGGAGTAGGATGAAGACAAAGTCTTATTTAAACCCCTACCCCAACCTTAATAAGACAAACCATATAAATAGAGGGCTTGAAATACAGTATAATAGCAATACTATATCTCTCTTAATTTAACTTAGGATTTGATCATCTTTGGTTTACATATCAACTTAAACTGTAATACAGTATATTTGAACATGGTTTCACTTCATTGTCCAAAGAGTTCCATAGCTTTACACCAGTATATGAGATGAACCTTTTGAGTGTAGTTCCTGCAAAGGACATCCACAAAATCCATTCAAGAAATGGAGAAGGAGGCACTCGGAAAACTGTGTTCTTTATAATTTCAACCGACTCGTTTCGACCAAAAGCCCTCATCAGGGCACTGAGTGTCACAGCTGACACTGTGCTGATTTAAGGTATCATGGGAACACCACGTGACCATGCAATATTTACAAAATACATAAATAAAAATACAATAAAATAAAATGCCAGATCAACAAAATAAGTCAGAAGTTTGTGTATCAATGACAACATACCCTCTGTTAGTATTAGATAGCAATATGGCCTACGTGCAGGACTGTACAAGGACTCTACAAGGACTCCATGTTATGACTATGATGTGACTGTCTCTTTGTGACACGTATGTCTTTCGATGTGTGACGTGACAATGACTATATAAACTGTGTACTGCCTTTATTCTGTCTGGGAGAAAGAAACAAAGTAAACCACTGGAACTTGAGAGAAACTTAAATAAACTTCCAGAGTTTGGCGCACCACGATCCGTCTCTGTCTGCTGAATCCTAACAGATTTGGTGGAGAATGCGCGGCTCAGTGTGCGCCATTCTCTGGATTGTTTTGAGGGAGTTTTCTTTGTTTCTTTTTCTCGGCGTGGGAGAGCTGAGAGTATCTGGGGCCTGGGAGCGGTCCAGCAGGCTGGAGAGGCGACCGGCTCCGGGACTCTTTTTCGCTCTCTCACTATATTTTTTTTGTGTCCTCTTTTTTGGACTGAGCGTTTAAAATTGTTTTCCCATGTCCACATTCCGGGGATTTTTGACGTGCGATTGGTCTCTGCCGATGGAAACTAGTTCCCGGTACTAGTGAGCGCTGGTTCATGATCTGGAGACCTGGTTGGACGTGGAAAAGCTGATATTTGGTGGACTTCTGACGGTGCCTGGTGCCCTGTTCAACAAAAGGTAAGAGCGGACACCTGTTTATTCAAAGTCTGCTAATTGAGTGAACTAAATTATGGTCTGTTTTGAGGTCTGCCAAATGTCATGTATCTATAGATCAGATTAGATTAAAAACAGGTTCGCTACCTGACGGGGTTAGAGTCCCTTTGAGAAGAAGTCTCGGGGTTAGAGTCCCTTTGAGAAGAAGTCTCGGGGTTAGAGTCCCTTTGAGAAGAAGCTTCGGGGTTAGAGTCCCTTTGAGAAGAAGCTTCAGGGTTAGAGTCCCTTTGAGAAAACGTTTTCGGGGTTAGAGTCCCTTTGAGAAAAGATAGAGAAGGATCCTTAGTGAAACCATGGTGTAAAATTAAAAGCAATTTTTAAAAAGGGAAACGTGTTAAGGAGGTTTTTTGTCACAAAAAGTTTTGTAATTAACCAATTCCAAGCTTGATAAATGACAAAAGTAAAGAAGCAACAATATTTCAGTGATCACGGTTTAAATTACATACAGAAAAAGGGAGTTTTTGTTTTTGGAGTGAACAGAGTTCACCGGAGAATGCAGAGTTTTATCTACAGTTGAGCTATGAGAGGGTTGTATCCAACAGTTGTTTTTGTTTTTTAGAAAGAGATTTTGAGTTTAAACTAGTTTGCTACCTCAATAAAATAGAAGCGTAAGGGAAATTAAAGAGTAAAGAGTGCCTTTTGTTACAAGTGTGGAAAGTGATCACTTCTAGACTTGGATGACAAAAGTATAAAGAACAACATCAGTTATATTAGCTTAAAAAAGTAATCTTGAAAGTTCTTCTTCTGTGTCTTTCTGCCTGTGTGTGCACATCTCTATCTTGCTGCCGTTGTCAGGGGAAACGGCCCCCTCCTTTGCTACTCTGGCTCTGAATCAAAACAAACCTGCTTTTAGGATTTTGGCTTTTCATAGTTGTTATTCAGTTAAATTTGCGAAATTTGTCATTGAACATTGTGTTATGACACAGTTAAACGTTTTAAACACCATTAGTGAATAAGTTTTGAATATTATGTTTTTTGAAACCCAAATATTAGTACAGGCACGGTGGCTGGTGGCACGGTGGCTGAGTGGATAGCACTCTCGCCTCTCAGCAAGAAGGTCCTTGGTTCGAATCCCGGCCGGACAAGGGCCTTTCTGAGTGGAGTTTGCATGTTCTCCCCGTGTCTGCGTAGGTTTCCTCCGGGTACTCCGGTTTCCCCTACCACTAAAAATATGTCCAATAGGTCTGGCATGCGCCTCCTGTACTGGCAACCCCGCTCCCATCTCTGTGTGTAGTGAGAGACAAATGCCCAAAAATAACAATTGTAAACCGCTTTGTGACTCTGGTCTGTGAAAGGCGGTATATAAATAAAGCTTACTTACTTACTTACTTACTTACTTACAAAAAGCTTTGCTTTTCTTTTTAAATCTGCTGCTTATTTCTTAACTTTTTGTGAGTTGTGTTTGTTTTTATGTTTTTATTTGAGTTTTTTTTCCCAGGATAGAGGATAAAATCCACTGATATTGATTTGGATGATTATGAGTTTTAATAATTTTTAAAAGTTTTGTTTGTTTGATTTTTTTTTTTTTTTTTCTCTTTTTCCACTTTATTGATTGATCAAATTGAGTGATCACATGTGATTATGTGATCAAAGGGGAGGGTGTTAGTATTAGATAGCAATATGGTCTACGTGCAGGACTGTACAAGGACTCTACAAGGACTCCATGTTATGACTATGATTTGACTGTCTCTTTGTGACACGTATGTCTTTCGATGTGTGACGTGACAATGACTATATAAACTGTGTACTGCCTTTATTCTGTCTGGGAGAAAGAAACAAAGTAAACCACTGGAACTTGAGAGAAACTTAAATAAACTTCCAGAGTTTGGCGCACCACGATCCGTCTCTGTCTGCTGAATCCCTGACACCTCCTAGCCCAAAACAGGTAAACAGCATTTGTAGTGCTACAGTTGGTGAAGAATCTGTCAGGGATGAAGCAGACAGAGACGGATCGTGGTGCGCCAAACTCTGGAAGTTTATTTAAGTTTCTCTCAAGTTCCAGTGGTTTCCTTTGTTTCTTTCTCCCAGACAGAATGGAGTCAGTACACAGTATATAGTCATTGTCACGTCACACATCGAAAGACATACGTGTCACACAGAGACAGTCACATCACAGTCAAAATAATCCTTGTCCTTGAAAAAGAGTCCTTGTAGAGTCCTGCACGTAGGCCATATTGCTATCTAATACTAACACTCACCCCTTTGATCACATAATCACATGTGATCACTCAATTTGATCAATCAATAAAGTGAAAAAAGAAAAAAAAAAATCTAAAAAAACGTTTACAAATTATTAAAACTCATAATCATCAAAATCAATATCAGTGGATTTTGTCCTCTAGACTGGGAAAATAATAAATAAATAAACAAAAACAAACAAAAACAAAAACAAATAAAAAATAAAAACAAACAAACTATTGGACACACAAGAACTCAGCAGATTCAGTCAAAACACAGACAAAAACGAGCTGAGTCTCAATTTAGAAGCTAATTTCACTTTTCTTACTCTATACTTGTATTCTAATACTGATTGTTTACACTACACTTCACTTATTTCACTGTATTATTTTCACTTTTCAATCTTAGACTGTGTACTTTCATGATTCACTATAGTTTCAAAAACTATTCTAATCTATTTACAAATATGTTTGCATATTTGCTTTTATTGAGCCATATTCTTAAACATACATTTTAATCTAATACATCTCTCTATACTGTGGTATTATACTCTCATTATCAGTGGCTTTGTGCTAATGGGATTTTGTTCTATGTCTATTCTACATTCTCAGGAATAAAACTGAACACAGTAAGGCAAATGGTTAATATGAACATTATTATGGCGGTCAGTTTTCCAAAAACATTTGTTGAACCAGGAAGTGCTGTCACTTCCTCCTCTCAGGCAGTTTGGGATGAATGTACATCAATAATCAAATTGGTATTATCCTTACAAGAGCTAATCTATTTTAGCAGGTTTGGGGTCAGTTATTCTACAATGGTGTTGATTCTCTAATCTGTGCTGACAAATCAACAACTTTTAAACTTCTCAAAGATATCTAAATAGCTCTTTAATCTAGGCTACACTCATGAACTTTTTGCATTGTCAACATTCACAGGTGTTTGAACACAAGTGAATTTGGCAAGTATCTAATAAAACTGTAATTAACTTGATTTACTTCTTAACAGGCATTTTCAGATTTGAGAAGTGCGTTCTGCCAGCTATTTGGTGATTTGACCCAACTTTGAAGTGCCACAGAATATTCATTTTTTTAGACTATGTAAACACCAAGGGCACCAAATCAAAGATTAACCTCTCTGCTTTACTCTGAAAAAAAAACAGTTCGTTTCTACCTCTTACCGTTCTTGAGCTATTCGCCATAGAACAAAGCATACTTTCACCCACAACACCTGGACTGAAAGAGAAAACAGAGAAAACGAGCTGTATGTAAA